CGTTGTGGGGGTCTGTTAGCCCTAGTCCTCTTTCCTGCCATGGCAGGGGGTCGGACTAGATGATCTGCCCAGGTCCCTTCCGACCCTAGAAACTAGGAAACTATGAAAAATTCTTGCCCAGGCATATACATTGAAGGTCTTGATGGCCCTCATACACCATAATCCAGGAGGAATTGACAGTTGCCCCATGAGCTTTGTTGCGTGATTTTATAACACTTCTATCCTGGACTGTGCCTAATAAACACTTTGTCATTTACAAGCATTGTATAACGGCAGCAATGCACTGCAGGGCACACTGCATGCAGACGTCACACAGAACAGACAGCACATTTGTTTTTAAAATCTCACCCTAACGACCTACAAACACTAAATTACACTGATGTTTCTTTATCTATCTCTGGAGAATGAAGGTCTGAATCATCTCTGTCATGATCTGAATGTCTGGTTCTAAAGTCTAGTTATTGCAAACCTTAGAACCCATTTATACATATATTGGATTTATAGCCAACTATATATCCAAACCAATTTCCCTAAAAACGTTTAGTGCCTAATTCCCTCGGATCCGTATCAGTGTAATGGGATGAACCAAAATCTGGGACTGAAATTTCAATTTTAAAGTTCTGATATGGAGTCAAATGTTCTTTCTCAGTCCCAGATTTCTTTAAGATACAGCAGTTATGGCACCTTATTCTTACGTTGTCTCATTTCTTTTTTCTTAAAGGGACCGCTTTTCAAAAGCATGTTACAAATGAACACCTACGTTGCCTTGTACAAATTTGTACCACAAGAGAACGAAGACTTGGAGATGAGGTAAAGAACTGACATATTTATATATTGACTTGACCCATGAAAATCAAGAGTTCTGCCAACCTAAGTTACCATTGTACTTTTCTTTTAATTCTAGTTCTTGTTCTGCATTTTTTTCAAGGTAACACTCAGAAAAAACATATTCTCATGGTTATTTAATTATGTGTCCTTTCTGTCTTCCTACCATTAAAAATAAGACAGCAGAGGTAAATTATCCAAATGGAAGCCAAAGCCCAGCAGAAAACATTGGGACTTGGGCTTATCTACATGGAGAAATTAGTCTGCAGCAAGTTAGGGTATGAATTTACAAGCGCACTCACTTTTCTGTATTAACTCCCTGAGTGGACAATCTTGTTGAATGCTAACTGCAAGGAACCTTTCTGCATTTTCAAAGTAGAATAAGTTACCTCTCACAAGGGCATTCTTCAGCTTGTCTGTATTGAAAAGAAATTGAACAGCAAGTTAGGGTCCAATTTTATAGTGCACTAGCTAATTCCCTCTAATTCCCCATTTACTCTTAAAATCAATCCATTTGAGACTCTGAGTCTAAATGCTTAATGATCCTTTAAAAATCACACTCAGGATCTTTTTCCCAACACTTTCAGGCACTTCTCCTTCTCCTTGGTGCACTTGGACTTGTGAACATCCTTATATCCCATTACTTTCTCTCTTTCTTTTCTATTACATTTGGCAGGATAGATGCTATAATTTCCAGAATCTCCATTTACTACTCCTTTTCCAATTCTTCTGGCCTTTAGCAGGACAGGGGAGGACTCAGGTTTCAGAAAGTCTTCTTTTCTGGAAGCATTAAGCAAGGAAATGTCTCCCATTCTGGCAGAATGTGTGTGCACTTGGAATGCATGGATGTGTGTGTGTGTGTGTGTGTGTGCGCGCACGCACCTATGTCAATCCAAATAAATAAGTAGGATGATGATTATGGCTTATTGAAAACTGTGTAGCCAACACTTTTTTTTCCCCAAGGAAAACTGGATTTTCTACTAAAAACATTTTCTTGTAGAAATGGTCTGGTGTCCTTGACAAATGTTTACATTTTTTTGGAAAACCAATTTTGAAAAATTGGCTTAAGATAATTTTTTTTCAGCAGCTAAAAACTGAAACTTAGTTAGCTTTAGGATTGTTTGGGTTATCCAGTCAATCAGAAGCAATACTACTGCTATTTGATTTTACTCCCCCTTGAGATTTTGCCTCAGAAAAGGGGAATGGTGAGGATTTCAAGAGACTGGATAGCAACTACACTATTTTCTCATAAATAGATGTGTTCTTGGCTTCACTTGCAACATTGCCTATTTCAAATATCATTCCTGTACTTCTTTTCACTGAATTTTTGCAGCAGAGCTGCCATCCCTAGCGCCACAGGGCTTTAAAGCCCATTGAAACCAATAACAATCCTTCAACTGACTTCAACAAACTGTGGTTCAAACTATTCATCATAAGTAGATGATTGCAGGGACTTCAACAGGTTTTAGGAATGCAGTCCTTTTTGAGCAGTTTATGAAATATGTCAGCTCTCTTCATTATTTACCCAGGGTCAAAGGAGTAGGATGGTGACTCAAATATGACATGCTTAAAAAGTCACTGGAGAAAAGTCTCACTCTTCAACCCATCTCTCTTTGAAAGCTCATTTCCCAGTTTCCAGCTGTGGCCTTTTCTTGCTCAAGACAGAGTGGGTGGAAAGCAAAGCAAAAATGACAGGCTCTTCGACCTTTATGCATAGCTGCCATATTTCCACACTTGTTTTGTTCTGGGTATGAGAACTTTTTTAGACAACAAAAAGTAGAATAATAAAATGACATTTTGTAGGAATAAAGAACCCCATTTATTAGCCACTCTGTGGGCGCATCTACACAAGATGTTTACTGCAGAGCTGACTAATAGCTCTGCAGTAAAATGTCACCATCTACACGTGCAGCCCTACTAGGTTGCAGTAGACTACTAAAAACCACCACAGGGTAGTCTGGCTAAACACAAGTGGCACTGGTTTTTTGCACTGCTGCATATGTGTAGATGGTAACAGGGCTGTCTGGGGCATGAAAGTGCTTCAGTGAAGGAC